CTGAAAATGGACGAACTTCAGAGAAGCATTGTTAATAATGCGTCTTCAAAAGCTTCTGGATTTACAGAGTGGACCTGTTCTCCAGAGTCTTTCAGAACACTGAAAGATAAGATGGATGTTAGCACCCAGGTAGCAAACTGAATCTATTGGTTCAACATTTGTGGGTCCTCGGCCCGAGTCTGGCCCACATGTTCTCCTGCACCACATCTGGGCAGATTCTGGCTGTTATCCTCCAATTCTGTCTTATTGCCACAAGAGTGTGAGTGTGAGTGTGAGTGTGAGTGTGAGTGTGAGTGTGAGTGTGAGTGTGCGTACACCAGAACTGGTCCAGATGTGGAAGTAGCATCTGACAATCATGCCTTATATGGGCCAGTTTCGGGCCGTGGAACCGAGCGTATACTGGGCCAGAAGACAACAATATGTGTTTTTAAGATAACTTCTTATGCATTTTTGCCTTCTGTTGGACAGTTAACAGTTAAGAGACAGAAAGGAAACACGAGTGGGTGGGGGGTGGGCACACGCATCAAAGGTCAGACTCGAACATCGGATGCTGCGGTGCACGCTCTGTAACCATGCAGTCACCACGGCTCTCCAGCTACCTGTGTTCACCATTTATAACATCAGATATTTGCTTTCAGTCCCACTGTGGGGAAATGTGCAATATTACAGCAAAGTGACGGTACAAAGAAAGAAAAACTGCAAAATGACAATATCAGATAAAATGAAAAATATATAATATGTACAATTAGATATTTAAATATGGTGAATTGTCAGTCTTTGGTGTGTGCGGTCCACTGAGTGCAGTGTTTGTTCTGACAGCAGCAGGAAGTAACGACCTGCGGTATCTCTCCTGCACACACCGCAGGTGCAGCAGCCTGTTGCTGAAGGAGCTGCTCAGGCTGTCAGTGTCCTGCACGGGGTGGGAGATGTTCTCCAGCAGGGATGACAGCTTAGCCGTCATCCTCCCGTCGCCCACTACCTCCACTGGGTCCAGGGAGCATCCCAGAATATTTCAAATGCTTATCCATTCATTTTAGCTGTTTATTTTTTGTAAGATCATTTTTTTGGCATTTTTGCCTTCTGTTGGACAGTTAACAGTAAAGAGACAGAAAGGAAACACGAGTGGGTGGGGGGTGGGCACACGCATCAAAGGTCAGACTCGAACATCGGATGCTGCGGTGCACGCTCTGTAACCATGCAGTCACCACGGCTCTCCAGCTACCTGTGTTCACCATTTATAACATCAGATATTTGCTTTCAGTCCCACTGTGGGGAAATGTGCAATATTACAGCAAAGTGACGGTACAAAGAAAGAAAAACTGCAAAATGACAATATCAGATAAAATGAAAAATATATAATATGTACAATTAGATATTTAAATATGGTGAATTGTCAGTCTTTGGTGTGTGCGGTCCACTGAGTGCAGTGTTTGTTATATAGTCTGACAGCAGCTGTGTTAACCATTTATCCATTGTTATTTTGTCTACTTCAAACTTTCCTATTAGTGGTTTCAACTTGTCTTCTCACACTAACAGACGCTCTTAATGCATGTTAACGAGTGGAGAGTAATTCGAGTCGTCGGTCGAGTCGCTTCGCAGGAGGAAATCTGAGATATTTCTCGCAGCTGGAGAATCACCAGCTTCAGTGCACTTATAACAAAGAGAATAAGGAACCAGAATATAAATTATTAGAAGAGTGGGGCACTACGTGTCTGACTAGTTTCCTGTCTGTGGTCAGGTGAGGAGCGTGAAACTAAAGAGAAATGCAAAAGGCTGATGTGAAACTCTTCACCGACAGGACAGGTCAGGACATCACATCACATGTTAACTGGGTTTGTAGAGTTTAGTGCACATGTATGACGATAATGAAATGTTGAAAGTGAGAAACAACGTGAGCGGCTGCAATGGTTCAATGGATTTTCTACTTTCTAGCGCGGTGAGGATATTTCCTCTGTTAGAGAATCACTGCGCTGTTGTTGTTATTTATGACCAACATTTGACCTTTTGTTTTCACCGCTAACATCTTATTTTTTCTTGTTTCATCTGTTGTTCTTTTCTGCTGGTGGAGATTTACATTCAGCCCAACCAACTGCACAGAAAGGAAACTCTTGGTTTTCTTCCACTGATAAAATTAAAGTTAAAGACAAATAACATTTTCTACTCCAGTATAATC